CCGGAGCAGTACCCAAACAAACGGGTCACGGACCGCGCTTGGTCTTTCCTTCCTCTTCCTTGTCCAATCTTCACCTCTTGTTTACACCCACTTACGTTTACATGCACTACACTACCACACATGTCAGGAGCTTCGAGCGTGTCCCGCCTGGGGCGTTGCCCCGCTGGTGGGAAATGCCTGGTTGTGGATAACCCATCGCCCCGACGTGAAAGACGGCGCCGAACCTCATTCACCTTACCCTCCCGCGATAATACATGCACTGCACTTACGGAACTAATGACCTTAGCAATTGACGAGCCCTGAATTATCAATCAATCAATCTTTTTTCTTATTCCATCATCCTCACGATCACTGTCTTTCGTCTTTCCCGCGATCCCCTCCGCGCTTGTGGAAGTCCTGGGTACCGTCTTTCGCACTTGGAAGCGCCTGGGCGTATTTTCGGGAAATGGCTGCAAGTTGCGCGCCGGCGTGAGCGAGCGGTTGGCGGGCGGATTCCAGGGAGAACCGCTCGTCGCCCCGTCGATTCGCTGCGCCGAGCGATAACGACGCGCTCGCTACAAGATGCCGCGCCACTTGGAACGCCGCCATATCGCGTCGCTTGGGTTTCAGATTGCTACATCTCCCGACGTCATCCTCTCCAGATACACGCGAACTAGCGGGTTGCGTTTTCGTACCCAGTATTTCGTTTTTATTCTGAGAATTATTTTCTTAACGGCAGCATTGCAGCGAAGATAGATTTCCATGAGTTGTCCACGCGTTGAAACCTGTATGCATAAGAACCTGTTTATTACTCTTAATGCTCAAGATAGAACAATAATCGTTTAAAAAAAAAGAAACTACTCCCGGCATCTGCGCCGTGTGATGTAAGTGCAGCGGTCGTCCTTAGGGTTTTTATTCGTGGAACATTTGTATGCGTCTTAGATGGTGCTTGCATAACACGAATGTGATTTCATATGACGATCGAATCTCGGGCACTAAAGCGTCGTCCCTGCCTGTCGGTTATTTGCGAGACTCGTCCGCCGACTAACACAATTAGCCGCCACAACTCGAAACAATCGGTTGCAGGGCGAGCCCCGACGTTTCGAAACGATGGAACGATTTTTTACGTAGTCTCATGTACTTGGAAAGGAGTGACTCTCTTAGCCTTAAAAATAAGTGTCACTTTGCTTCATTTTTAACTGTAAAAGAAATGCAAAGAATGTACATCTCATAATAATTAATATTAACTTCAGAGATAACTAATAGTATCTAGTAAATTGTTTGTGCTCCAAATGAAACTTCAACCAAAACATTCAGACTTCAATAGTAACCTACGTTTTTGAGAATTTTTATTATATTACCTTCGTTACAGCTAGCATTAGTAGTCGTAGTATAACGTCAACCCATGATTGTCTTCATTTTGCAGAACGCATAACTTTTTTAAAATTTATTTTCTTCTAAACCTTCTAAGCATCCGAACATTTTTTTCAAAAATTCATTGTGACCACACAAATATATGGCGCCACACAAATCTCTCAAGGAATCTGCACGAACTGTGGGATTCCTTCCAAATTCACGGAGGGCTCGCGTGTGTTTCGGGCCATCTGCATCCGAGGGCGACGCCACCCCTGCCGCCGGGAGGCGCCCCTCCCACACACGCCGAGGGGCGGCGGCGGCGTTCGCGCCGGCCTCTCAACTTGCAGCAATTTGTCTTGGTGTTCGTACGTCATAGCAGGTTTATAGCCGCGCAAAAACGACGACAGCAGCGTCGATTGAGCAAGGGGCTCCGGCGGAGGGGGCGGCCGTCAGCGCGTCCACGAGGAAAAAGATCGAACTGACGATCGACGTCGTGATGGAGTCGCCATATGTGTGATGGAGAAAGGTGGGGCTGCCTGTGGTTACCGGCGTGCGAAACGCAAGAAATTAGTGAAAATAACTGTTATGAAACGTTTATCCAGAATTTAACGGGCAGGAGTAATGTTTCTAAATCACCTATGAATATAAACAATTTTTGTTTCACCATAAGTATTTAACTACTGCGACATTGTGATGTGTCAGATGACTGGAGTTTCCGAAAATCTGGGGTCGATTCCATCTATCGTTATTCAGTCAACATATAATGTGTATGTGTAAGAGATAAATAAATGGGTTTACGATATGAATGATGTGTAGAATTAAATTCGTGAAATGAATAACGTTGGTCTTACATGTTGTGAATACTTTTTCGTTTTAGTAGAGTGGCCTACATATATTAATCAATTTTTAGTGAAGGAGAAAAAGGTAAATTATAACTTCAAACGTTCAGTGTCAAACACGCCCGAGCCCAGTGGCTGAGAATTTCAGCTGAAGACGGGCACGAGGCACGTTCTCTCGCCACAATCCCACGAGTTGCCCCACTGATGGACGCGGATCTTTGTCGCAGCGCGAGGCGACAGGGGGCGGATTCGGCTGATGTCATTCGGGCGTAAATACGAGAATGAAGCACGCTGCCCTTCGGCGCCTATTCTTAGCCGCAGCCTTGGCAGCACAGGGCCGACGTAGCGGCGGCGGCGGCGACAACGGTTTTTGTGGTGTCGGGCGAACGCCACAGCAAAAGCGAGAGGAGGACGTGCGACGCCTCGCGACGCGTCGTTTCGCAAGCAGCTGGAGCCCACAGCTGGCCGTGTGAACAATTAGCGCGCTCTTAAGTGGAAGACGGCGCTCGCGCCTTCGCTTCGCCCAGGACCCTCGTTCCGCTTCTTACTGGATCCCGCGGCTGATGAGCGGCGCGGCTCCGTCGTGTTCTTGTCTCCCTTCTGCGCCGCGAGCGCTTCCTCTTCCCGTTTATCGTTCCGGACGCGTCAGCACGTCGTCCCAATTGACGTTCTTCTTCCAGGTGCCCTTCTTCCGTCCTCGGTCGACCCCCATCTCCTTCCATCCGCTCACTCGGATTTCGCACCTCATTGTCGACCTCCTTGGACTGCGCATTGCGTATGTGCTCCAGCGCTTCGGAGGAAATATATTGTGCGGAACGACAAGTGTCGGCGTCGTCTGACTTTTCTGAAGGCTAATTGGATTTTGCACGGATTGGAAATCGTATTCCTGGAACGAGGCTGTCGTTCGGAACCTCTCGGTCACGGCGCTTAGGAAACGACGCGCTTAGTTACGCTTTGGCGGGCGGGCGGGCGCACTGGCGAACGCGTTTCCACGCCGCACGCCCCGTCCCAGAGGTTAGCGTTTCCGAAAGCCGTCGATTTTCTGTAGCGCTTACCGTCCCACGCTCATTACTTTCAGGGCCCCGAACGTTAGCGTCGCGCCGGTAGCTTGGAACGAATGTATCCCGTCTGTATAGAACAGCCCGATGCATCGCAAAAAGCCTATCACCTCCGCTATAAAGATCAAGCCTTCCTGCACGGCCCACTTCTTCGTCATTACCAGAACTTCCCGTACGAGGAAGTTTCTCGCAAAAGTAATCAAATAGCCGTCTTCTTCTGAAGCCCACTAAAAGCCGTACTTTGCGTTCTACGAATAATCACCGGTTCCTGCCCGTACCGTCTCGGTTGATGTGAGAAAAAAACAAAAACAACCCCCTCTCCCCTCTCCCACAAAAAAAAACACGCGCTGTATGAAACCAACAAAACCGAAGTTCGAGAAGATGGGAATCTTGTTGCGCTGAAAGCAACTCTGTGAACCTGGGGCGCGCCCCGAAGGAAGCAGCCGTCAGTGACCCACACTTGCGGCGAAAGCCTTCGGAGGCGGACAGGGTGGCCGTTGCTAGCCTTCGGATGAGGCTGCATAATAAGCCGTCAGTGCCGGGCCGGCGGATAGCAACCCGAGCCGTCGCCGCCATCGCGCCAGTCCAAGTTCTCGTCTCTCTGTTCATTAGAACCGTAAAGAGCCTCTTCTCGTCACCGCCGAACCCGCAATTAAAAGCTGCTGCCAGAGTTCAAAAGTTTTCGCTCGAAACATGTTAAAAGGAGTTCAGTCTCTTCGTCCCCTTTAGCGCTCGCGCCAGCTCTCTCTCTCTCTCGCTCTTTATATATATTTACGCAGAGTCCATATATTAATTAGTGAAAATTAGCAACAAAAGTTCGCCGGAGAATGAAAGCCCGCCCGCATTATGCCGGAGTTAAGCTGGCGGCCGGCGCGCGCCTTTTGTGGAGTTGTGAGGGGATGGCGACTGCGAGGGTTTCCGGCACAGGGGTCGCGGGCGTAGGCATAACGCCCCCCTAGGCGGAGCGCGGAATTAACATATCTGCCTGCGAACGCGACCGGCGGCCGCTCTGACCGCGGAATGAAAAGTTGACGGTATTAGCAGCCATCAGGTGACGGCCGCGCCGCGCCGGTCAGGGGAGCGAAACCATACGGAAGGGGAGTGGGAGGGGTAGCGGCGTTCAAAGGCTTCTTTCTGCTCGAGTGCTAGTTGAGTGCAATATGGTGTCGAGTATTTCGTCTGTAGAAGCGACTGGAGTTCGGGCTACTACGCGAACGTTCTTCTCTGCACCATGTGATACACTGGTTAGTCGCCTTTTATCGCGTTTGGTGTCGTGGCCAACGCGTGGTGTTGTTGCATTATGTTGAGTCATCCAGAGACGTTGGATTCTCTGGAGCATGGCTGCGGCGTGATTCGCTTGCACAACGAGCTGTAATTGTCTTCACGATACACCCACACACTCCAAACCAGTAGAAGCTACAGAGCGTTGCCCATTATTTATTGGCAATGCGATGAATATCCACGTATTATGTTCATATTTTGGTGCTAATCTTGACTCACGCTCGGTAAAAATAACACAAGTATCGTGCAATTGTAGTCTAAATAATATCCACTGAACTATATTACTTCATTGAGATAAGCTAGTTTTCAAGATCAGTACGCCTTCCCGATTTTGTACTTTTATGAGAATCAGATATACCCACTATTCTCTTATTGACTGTCGAGTGAAGGAACACAACTTATCACGCTTGTATTTGCATACATTTCATGCTAAAACTCAGCGTGCGCTGTAAGCAAACCATTTCAATGGCCTCTCCCTTTGTTGCAGATGCGTGCGGGTTGTCGGACGTGGCGCACATCGAGAGCCTCCAGGAGAAGTCGCAGTGCGCGCTGGAGGAGTACTGCCGCACGCAGTACCCGAACCAGCCCACGCGCTTCGGCAAGCTGCTACTGCGCCTGCCGTCGCTGCGCACCGTTTCCTCGCAGGTGAGAACCGACCCTCCACGGCAAACAATCGGCGTCGAGTTCCCATACACAGAGGAGAGACCGCGCTAATGAAATGCGTTGACTCAGCGGTTTAACGAGATAAGTCAGTTATTGCCCAACTCATTTTCACGATTCTGTTGGCAAAACGCGTGACATTTTACTCAACTGTGACGACTGCTCCTGCCTCTTACAACAAGTTAGTTTCTTCTAACATTCTGTGCGTGGTTGTGACTATATAGTATGCGACCACATCTTTTTTATGGGACCATAAAAAATAAACTATTTGGAAAAATATTTTAATTATATTCAGTACACTAATAACATAAACAATCCGTAGTTTTTCTTCCGCTTTTTTCTGGTGTGACGTATTACGACCTCTAAATACCTTTGCGCTCCTCTTGTTTCTCAGCAAATTATAAATTAAGTGCCTCAGTTCGCTCTGTTGAAGGCTGCACCTGACGTCGAAAACGCGATAAGGCAGTATAAAATATTTCTTGCGAGTCATTTATTTCAGCAAACCCTTCACATAACGCAGCTGTACATTACTAAGCCGCCGCTTATTTGATTATTCACGAAACGAGCAATACCTATCTGGAATATTTAAAATCCATCTGCGCTTGCAAGTCATTCATCAAGGGCCTAATGGAACGTCTTTTGACAATGTATGAAAGTGCCCCACTTCCTGTGACCCTTCATAAGTCTCCTTCTAACTTTAACCCGCTTCATAATCACCCCTTCATCTCTCTTCGTATTCCCCTCTTGTTCCATTAATTTTTATCTTCATTTGATAGTGTGTTTTTACTCTACTGTGTTCTTTCTAGCATGTTCTTCTTTTTTATTAGTTTTCTGCTTCCCTTCATATATTTATCCCGCCTACATCTTTTCATGCCTTTTCCAAGCATCATTCGGAGCCTAAATATTCATTCCATCCTTGTCTATCTTCGCCCTGAAGCCGCCGGCGACCGCAAGGGAGGTTTGACGAGCGCGCGCTCTCGTTTGTTGCGCAGGTGATCGAGCAGCTGTTCTTCGTGCGGCTGGTGGGCAAGACGCCGATCGAGACGCTCATCCGCGACATGCTGCTGTCGGGCTCCAGCTTCAGCTGGCCGTACATGTCCTCCATGTGACACAGTGCCGCCGTGTGGCGGCAGCTCGCCTCCGCCTGAAGCGGGGACCCCTGCGCCCCAGAGGCCGCGAAGGAGGAGGAGGAGGCGGCGGGCGAGCGGGGCGGCGCCGGGGGTAGCGACGACGACGAGGGCGGCCACCCGGGCGCCGCCGGGCGCTGAGCGGGACGCCAACGCCCGCGCCAACGCCCGCGCCCGCGCCAGCGCGGGGAGGAGGAGGAGGAAGCGGAGCCAGAGGAGACGCCAGCGGCGCCTGGCGGAGCGTTGCGCTCCGACCGCCGCGCGCCACCGGGAATCGTCCCTTCCCCTCATCACTCTCTCAAGCACACACGCATCGGGTTTGTTCCAGCAGCGGATGGGGAATGTCGGTAGCCATGGACGCAGTTCGACCCATAGCGGTGTATGAATGAGTCTGCATCTTGTTAGTTTGAAACCTGTTGAAAATCAATCTGAAAAGCTCGAAGTTTCTTAGCGAGTTCTTAGTCTCAAAGAATAGAGACAAGTTTTGTATTATTTTTCTGACGCAAAAAGTGAAATGTGGCTCTTTTCAAACTGCGCGTGTACAAAAAGTCTTGGCGTTAATCAGCCCTTGATTGTTCACTGGAACAAACCTATACGAACACACATTCGAACTCACCCACAGACCAGATCTGCAATCCCCTGAGTACAGTACTTAAACGATCACTTTCTTCCTACTGAAAACCCTGTGTGTCAGAAGGGGTTCTGCTCCGCTGGGGTCTGGACTGGTATCGATTCTTCGAAGCGGTTGATTGTCATAAAAGTCGAGAGAAACGGCGTTTAAGAAGGGGAGGGAGAGGGCGCGTGCTTGCGCCCATAAATCAACGAGACTGTGTGCTCATGTCAACGCGAGGGAATCCTGCGCCGGCGGCGGCCCACTTGAGCGCATCAGCGACGCGGGGTCGCTGACCGCGCGCTGGACACGGCTGATAAGCCGCCGCCGCCGTCCACGACGACGATGACTGCGGAGGAGAGGGCGGTGGTCGCTCGCGTAGCCGCCGCGGCGTCTTCGTCTATATTTATAATACCAGCATGGAAACAGCCGCAGCTGCCGCAACGGACCGCGCAAGCCTGCGCCCCGCATGTGTGAACGCGCGGCGGCACTCCAGAAACGGCAAGATTCGCACGCGACTGGTTTTCCTGCCACCCGCTGATTTCTATCGTAGTACGCAGAGCACGTGGCTTTACGGTCTGCAGGAAGTCGCTGACACGTGGTAAAGAAATGGGGTGGGAATGATGTATTGCAGACCGTTCCAAAATCCGAAAATTCGTTTATGTTGAGTCTTTAAATTAAATTTACAATATAGAAACTAGAATACATCTCAATTTCAATATTTGATATTTTAATGTCGACAAATTGTTTCAAATAAGGACTAACATTATAATACAAGAATCGAAAATTTGAGAAAAAAATAGTGAAAAAAAGTAATTTCAAAATTTTGAAATATCTTTACGATAGGTGCGATTGGCGCATAATTATCAGTACTTAACATGGTTTTTTACGCATTCTAATATTTATTGCCTTTCGTTTCGGCCTAACGTACTAGTTCCTCTATGGTACATATTAACAATCCTGGCGTCTCGTCAAGGGAACAAAATGTTTCCCCTCATAAATGTCTAATTTAACATTCGATTAATAGCGTTTCCACTCGAACCACCGCGGCGAAAGTCTAAAAAACCGTTGCTATACATTTGTAGATAATTAGATGAAGGCTCGGATAAATAAATCCTCACACAAATCCGTTTAAGCACCTAAACTATGTTTCCTGCCAGCGAACAACGCTTGCGAACTCCCGTTTCCTTCAGACGTCCATTGGACCGGAGGCTTTGCCGCGCGCCGTGCACGTTCCTGTCCGCTACACGCCAGGAAGCCATCAGAATGAAGTAAAGCGAATCGTGTTTCTCAAAGGTGCTGGAAAGATGTTTCGATGTCCTCATTTTTTTAGCGAACGGAATGTATTTAATCTTGTCCAAAACGTCTAACTACGGCACTGAAGTTCGGTAGAATTTTCCGGGATTCGACTGAAAGATTTTTACATTCAGAAAGTTGTAAGTGATTATGTTAGTGTCCAGAAAGCATGACAAAAAAATCGTGTCTACCAACAAAAAGTTTTCCTACTAAGATAAGAAACGGGAATTGTCACTTTCAGATAGCGTAATGATTAAATTTAAAAAAGAAATTTACCAATATCATTTGTCAGATATTTCTCTTTTTTTACTTCTGAGAATTGCCACGTCTATTAATGTATTTTCTGTGTAGTCTTTTAAATTGAAGCAGAAGTATATGTTACTATTACTTGTTCGTCCCTCATTCTTTAGTCAGATTATGTATTCTCTAATGATAGGCTTCTAATGAATTCTGACATTAAAAATCGATTCAACAATTTTTTATTGATCATTCGACTCCTTACATTCCGAGTTTTAATGTTGCTTTATAAATACACCTACATAAAATTTGTCTACATAATGACTTCCATTATTAATTTCTCTAATGAGGCGACGCGACGGGCGAGAAGCGTTCCACCATTCCAAACATTCTCCGAGGCGCAGCATAGCCAACATGGCGGCTGCGGCCCAATGGGCGGCTCGCGCGCAGGTGCCGAGGCACGCCGCCAGGCGCCACCTGCGATTGTTTGCGGGCGGGCGAGCGGTGCAGTGCGGAGGCGGCTCTGGCGGCGCGCCAAACGCCGACGACCGACCGGCCCGCCCGCCCGTCCGTCCGCTCGCGTCGTGTTTACACGCGCCCGCTCCCTCACCGCGATTTACCGCCGCGGCAGGCGAGGTGCTCCCCTTCAAGCGCAAGGCCCGGGTTCGCGTCTCGTCGCGTCCGCGCTGCGTGGGGAGGTGCGAACGCTTCGGTGGCGGCGCTCAGCTGTGTTGCCCTGCGAGTGCCCGCCATCAATATTCGGCTTTGACTTTTAGCATCAGCTACGCTTTAGAAGTCTTGATGATGAACACCACTAATTTTAACTAAGGTCTTTCACATACACCATACAGCAATTAAATTGTTAAATTCTAAATTACACATACAATATATAAGAAATCTATTTTTTTTTCTTAGAATACCTTGATTCAAAAAATATATTTTGTAGTTTCCTTTTACTCTTAAAATATTTACAATAGTTATTTAAAACAATTTGTCTTATTGGAAGATTAAATAATTTCAATTTCATACATCACGAAGCTTTATTTTCAGTGGTAATAAACTTCTCGAATGTGAAATCTAACAAAGCGCAGGAATGTTAAAATAAAATTTTCTCTTCAGAAAAAAAAATATCGCGTATGAAATATACGTTTTTATTCACTTCGTGGAACGTGATTACTAACGAGATTTCAATACCCTCGACTCGTAATTCTCGCATAATGTCAGTAGCGTGAGCGCGTTCGTTTCCTAATTCTTCCGCAATGGCACGCTGCTCTTTTGGAGTCGTGCGCGAGCGGGTTGCAGCGGGGCGCTCTTCACACGCGGGGGCGGGCGGCGGGGCCGGGCGGGCGAGCGCCCTTTCCGCGCCTCGGCGCCCGGGGAGTAATTAATATTTAATTATTCATGACGCTTTTACGCGGCCGGGTGATGCCATTGTGGGCCGCGGGCGCCGTAAACGGCATGCGATATCAGCGGCGGGGCGGAGAGTGACGCGAGGGCGGCGGCGGTGGGGGTGAGCCGGCCCGCCCCCGCCCTCGCATCACGTGCTCGGACGGCGGCGGCAGCGGCGGTGGTGTGCTACAGGTAGGGCGCGCGGCTCCGTGCCCGCTAGCGCATCCGTCATTTCCATTCGGCATCGTTCAAATTGAAACGGCGGACGCCCGCCGAATATATTGGAATTGCCAATCTTCATCCCTGCGGTGGGAATAAAACAGTGCGACGAGAGAGACGGCGGCGGCAAGGGCGGTCGCGTGGGATAGAGACGGTCGGTGCAAAAAAGTACAAAGTGCGAAGTACAAATCGAAATAAGGACGGAGCTTGCGAAGCGACTTCGTGGATTTAATTTGAATCAATGCATACTATTTTACTTATTGCTATTAAGCAAGACTGTTCGTAGAATGATGAAAATGAAGATTTCGCTTGGAGACGATGACCAGTCCCCGGACCAATGTACACAAAACAAGAGACGTTTGGGCGAGCGTCCCGCAAGCGGACGGTTCGGGAATCTTCCCGGTTAAGGGGTCTAATGATCGCGCCAAATTTGGACGATCGGTTCCCGAGTCGTTTGATTTCGTGACGTTATCTGCAACCAGTTGCAGCTTCAGAACGTACAGCAGCTGAAATTCAGGATTGCATTTAGACTAAAATGCATATGCACGGTGGCAAATTCATATTTGTTTTCTAAATAAAAATATTTTCAAACCAAAGATTAAAATTTAGAATTGAGTTAGCATTACTATTAATCTCGAAATCTCAGCTACTGTTTGTTCCAGTTCACTGCCAGGTGTAATAAAATTCGCTCCAACTCTACTCCATAAATCATTCTCCAGGTTCACTAAACCAATCTCACAAACACTACTTACAAGGTACGATCATGATTTTTTTTATTAGGGGAGAGAGCTGTTCTGGTCCCCAGAGTGCCGGCCAAACAACGACTATACTCATACTTAACTTGTACTTCATGATATAACAAATAAGATATGTGATATGTTACAATATGGATCAGAAGACTAGTTTTCAGAGTAATAAAAAAATGGACAGTCTTATTTTCTGTAAGTCAGAGAGAACCTATGTAAAGTGTAAAGTATGATTTAAAAAAAAGCGGTTCGTTCTTAACTTGTAGAGAGACTATTTACGAGGAAAACTCGTGTGAGAGAAAGAGTTTTTTTTATACTACTACAAATTTCGACGGGGCGCCTGCCAAGGTAGCCCGGTTAGCGATCTCGAAATAAGAATAAAACATCCCAGTGACGTTTTGTGTTAGAGTGAGTGTTCTTTGCCCGTACTGTTGTATAAAACTGTACATACTGTAGAGTTTTTTAAAGGTGGCGGGCCTCGCGGCGGGAGCGAACGCCCGGCGCCGGACACGC